TTGGGGCCTCCCCCCAGTCACAGAATGCAACTTCGCGTACTTGACTAGCACAAACGGTCTTCGGTCCAAGCGTCGTCGCAGACTTTCAGGCGCAGATCACCGAGTGAATGCTCGGCTTGTAGGGCTTCGCGACCACCGAGCCAGCCGACGACACTTTCATCAGCCTCATGCATCCGATTCCACCGCCGGATGAATGCGCACCATGATCTCTGCAAAGCTTCGTACGTCGCGCCGTCGAGTGTTTTGTTCCGGAGACGCCTGAAGCGCCGAAAGTGGTCCTGCATGGTGTCCAGCGCGTCCGGGGTCACCGCCCCGGACAATTCGTACAGCGCCCACGGCTTCATATCCTCGTTCATTACGCCGGGCCGAACCCCGAGTCGACTCACGCTCTCAGGTGCGATATCTGCTTTCCACCCACTGTTCAGCGTCGTCGCCGACGCTGGAGCCGTCCGCGTTGTTCCGCTTCCTGCCTGGTTCGCCGCCCCCGTCTGCTGCGCCATGTTGTTCTCGTCCGCGCAAGTTATATTGTGCTGCTTCTGGGCTTCGCAGGAGCTCCCGCCCGTCAAGCTCTCAAGCGTTCTCTTCTCCGCCATTTCCCAGTTCTTCCCGATTGTTCTCCGAAGCGCACCCCCGTTAGGTGATTGCTGTCTTAAGAGGGGGGTGATGTAATGGGCCCTCCCAAGTTACATATGTAGGTAGTTTATAGGTTCTTTGTAGTGGTTCACACCACTACATAAGTAGGTAGATTTGCATTACAAAAGTAGGTGCAGCAGCACACGAGTAGCGTGTGCTGAGCTGCCGTCACCTTACTGGTTGAAATATGGGAAGCCAGACCCATAATCAACCAATAAGGAGTTGACGTGTATTTGAGTGGTCAGGGCAAGCTGCCCTGGACCTAAATAAAAACAGAGTTGATTTTCCTTCAGACTAAGTACTTGGTTTCAGTATCACTGGACTTGCTCATCACTACGTGTAAGCAAGTAACGGACACCCCAGGCCCGTTACAATACGCCTGTTGGATTCCCGTTGTCTGCTTAGATGGCGAAGAGCACAAAAAAGACGATGATTATTTTTGATAGCTAAATGCGATAACCACAGTTCTTCTAAAGCTAAATTTCATCAAAGGTGTTTATTCGCAGATCAAAGCGGATCGACCTCGAGCGCTTCATGACACTCTCTCCCTTCTCAAACATCCCCTAAGCCCCCAGCCAAGCCTCTCCCTGCCCCGAGATGCCCCCCCCCGTATTCGCCTGAGCTCGCGTCCTCTACAGCGACCGCGCCGGCGGTGACAGGATGCTTGTGGCCGCCCATAACGGCTTTCCCGCCACCACGGCACGTATAATCGTGGATGCAGGACGAGTGGAGCGACTTCCGCGCGGAGGAGCCCACCCTTTCAACTTTAAGTGTACTCTGGAGATCGAGGCTGTCCTCGAGAAGTACGTCGAAAACAACTGCACTTACACTCTCACTGCAATGAGGGATATCGTGCTCTTCGACTTCGACGTGGACCTGAGCATCTCTACGATCCGCAACAAGGTGATTGGCAAGCTGTACACCACCAATCCGGTAAGGGCTGGTCCCTGCCGGGGGTCTCTGGGGTCTCGAAAAATAAAGCAGCGAATCTATTGGACAAGAATTGATTCCGAGATAGGCAATTAATTCCTACACCCATGGGTGTAGGAATTAAAACAAGATAGCCTTTTGAGATCAGTATTTGATACTAGAGGATCTGAAATATCCACGCAGGACGAAAATCTCGTGGTGGTAACCGTGGAGTCGAGGTGTGCCGGGCTGGGTCAGCGCGCGCAGGCTGCCTAGGGTGTGCTGATCTGTGGCTATTACGCACCGCTGACATGAAGCAGCAATTCCTCCATTTATTCTAGCCAGCACTCACTTGTCTCCTCCTCTCTTTTTTTTGTTTACAATTATTGAGCCAAACTACTGTCCTGCCAACCTGTGCTGTGAGCTACAGAGCCACTACCGCTAGTATTTTGACGAGGGTATGCTAGTCAACAGTGATTGACCGAAACGACCTACGACACTAGTGCTCGGGGGTAGGGGGATGTTTATTTTCCGAGACCCCAGATCCCGCGGCAGGAACCAGGGCCTAAGATACAATGGTAAAACTAACACCTATGTACATATATTATTCTAAATATTACTTGCTAAATGAAATAGAACCGCGGGGAGCCGATGGTTTGCAACAGCGAGGTCAACAAGGCCAAGCGAATTAAGTTTGCTACCGAACTGCGAGAGCATATGAGTGCAGGAAATCTCATTTTTTATTACCATGAGACAAATTATAATGTGTGCTGCAAACGTAGCCAAGGGCGTGTCAGAAAGGGCGAGTGGGCGACGGGTCGTCTTATCGCCGTCCAGGGGTACAGATCCAGTGCGCCATATCAGCGGATTTAGGGTTGATGCATCATAAGCTGCAGAGAGGCAGCATCCGCATGGATGTCAGCGCTGCTTTCGTGGAGAAAATCAACGAGATAGTCAAATTCTCGTCAACATTTCAAGAGCACTTCCAAGGCAAAAAAAGTCATTATCGTTCTTTACAACCCCCTGCCCACAATTAGACGGAAGCACGCGTCGCAGAGCGAGACGACTTGGTACTTCTAAGGCTGGCTCCATACTCTCCAATATGTAACCCTATCAAAAGTGAGCAGCATATTGTATTCTTATTAAATGAATAAGTAACACACTTTTAACTGGTGGTACAGGGTGTTTCAGTGTTCTCAAGGACAAGATCAAGGCCGACTTGCCCTGTCACGTGAGAAGCTGGTTTCGGAGCGTCTGCGCGGGTCATTTGCGGCTGCTCGGATAGAGATACTGGAGCGTGCAGTCAGGCGCCGCATTGGATGTATCGACTTGCGCCTTGCTAACAGGATGGCACTGCATTGGCAGCATACCGTCGCTGCTGCGGAGCGCATGGAGGACATGCAGGATGGCACCTGGCTGCAGTTCAACTCAAGAGGTCCACTTTGGTCTGCGTTTTCGCCACTTTGAAATTTGTTTTAAATGATACTTTTTCCTAATCAAAAATTGACTTTCTAGTTTTTAAAAATCCGTTTTGAAGTGGAGTGCATGTAGCACCATCTTGACCTGGCAAAGGTGAAGTCAGTTTATATTAAATAACATATGCACCTTTACTCTGTCTCTTTTAAATAGTGCAGTACAAAGCGTCAAATAATTATGTAAGGACGACCTTCGCTCCAGGTTTTCCAAATAGAAAAACTCAAAATTCTTATTCGCCATGTATTATCTAGGTTGTGCTCCAGTTTTGTTTTTACAGGTTTCTCCGAATCAGAAGACATGATTTATTTCGGATAAGTATATTTCACTACCAGGTTTTTTTTAGGTGAAAGTATCCGGACAATTCGTATGTGCGGTGCTAGCCAAAAACTGGAAGTGAGCAGAGCTGAATGTCTCGCAGCCAACCAATATGGTCAAAGGTGGTCCGGTCCAGGTATAACACCTGTTCAGTTAGCATGTGTTTGACTTGGAAAAGGAGCACCACTTCGTTGTGTCGGCTGCAAGTTCAGCAGCACCGTAAGCTCAGGACCTCATCACACAAACACAGGTGTTTCCTAGGTTCTATCCAGGTATCAAACAAGTATTGAAAATAAAGAGACCAAAGTTTCGTAACTAGCACCGCTTCATCTTCGAAATAGCTTGTAGAAGGGCTCAGCGCAGCTTCGCTATGCCAGAAGATGACAGACCACTCGGGGCTTCATCACTCACACAGCGCAAGTAGACAGTGACACGAACACCACGTAATTGTTTCCGTCTTTCTGCTTTGGTTCCGTGACACTTACCTGCTCGTACGTATCACCTTTCAGTGCCATCGCTATGATATCACCCGCCAGTTTGTTTAATATCTTCCGGTTCTTGATCCCATTCAAGCATCTGGAATGGACACTCCGTGCGTTGCAACGTATGTGACATTCGTCTACCGGTAGGCCTTTCACGCTCCGACCGACCGTGAGTACAAACGTACTTGCGCTGGAAGGGTTGCGGCTCCGAAGGAACGAGGGGGATCGCTGAGTCCGGTCATCCCTTGAATCGAACTTGAGAGCGGAGTGCAGCGTTGCGTCGAGTCGTGTGGATGACTTCCTTTATCACAAACTTTTGGTGTTTTTTCTCCATGTATTTGCGCAGGCTCAAACCAAGACTTGCCCAGGAGCCATATTTCTTCTTAAAGACAGGGACCCCAGCCAAATACTCATCTTCCACATCCGAAAGTGATCGTTTCTTCCCTTGCCCCCTTTACTCTATAAGCCTTTTCCTCAATGTCCTCTTCGTTTTCTTTTTCAGCGGCAGTTCATTCTTCTCCTTCTCTTTCTTCTTCTTTATCTCTTTCTTCTTCTGCAGCTCCTTCTTCGGCTTCTTGCTCTTCTATTCCCTCTACTTTTCCTTCTGTGTCAGCCTCTTCCTCTGCGTCCTTATCTCCTGTAGTAACAGGGATAATGGGATTGTCACTCTGGCGTTCGCTTGCGCAGCCGAACGCGCCAGCTTTCTCAGAGCGTTCGCGCGCATTCAAGGTCTGCAGCCTGAGTCTCGTTTCGCTGGCGTGTTTCCTCTTCTTCGAGGCGAACCTTCTCCGCCATCTGTGCATTGATTGTGGCAGTCTTGTGGGTCCGCGCCATGGCGAGGGGGGAAGAGGGATAGCACTCGCGGGGTCAGGGTGGCTTGCTCTTCCAATCTGGTTGTGAAAAAAAATCCGTACCTGAACAAAACCTGTTGTGAAATCTAAATAACCCGATTATGAAAACGCCAGGACACAAAACATATATTGTTTTGAACAAAAGTATGAATACCGGTATATTTGTTAGAAAAGGAGTTTTATTTGGGAGGGCGCTTTTATTCGGGCAAATGTTGCTGATTTTCACCACTGTGGTCCACCTAATCTACCTTTTGCGCTTCCCATTGGCCATTATAGCGCCACCTTTGTCTCCAAACGATGTACTGCTGCTGACGTCGAAGGCTCTTCCGTCTCCATGCCAGGGTCTCACTCTCACCGCCAGTTGGGCATCCTGTCCGTGGCTCTCATCACGTACTTCAACGTCAGTGGCGGTCCATGGGGCAGTGAGCCCGTTCTCGCAGCTTGCGGCCCGTTCGTGGGCATCTTGGCCGTCCTGCTCTTCCCCTGGGTCTGGTGTCTGCCTCTAGCGCTCACCTTTGCCGAGCTCTTCACAGCATTTCCGACTGACGGCAGCTTCTGCAAATGGGTGGGCGTAGCATTCGGTCGACCCATGGGTTTCCAAGTGGGTTACTGGAGCTGGGTGTCAGGTGTGATCGACAACGCCATCTACCCATGTCTGATCGTGGACACGCTATTAGCCTTGACATTGGGGGACAAGGACGCTTTGAACGGGGAAAATGGAGTCGCCTGGAGCGTCTTTGTTATGCGTGCAGGCTTCGCTGTGCTCTTTATGCTACCGACATTAAGAAGCATCAAGGTGGTGGGTCACACTCTACTGGTGTTGGGAGTCATGATCTTCCTGCCGTTCGCTGTCCTCATCGTATACGCCATGCCACTTATTGAACCGGCCAATTGGTTTGTCATCCGACAAGATGTACGTATTTTTTATACTATTTTTTTTAGGAAACTTGAGTACTAACATTTTTTATATTGAAGCGTGATTGGGGTCGTCTGTTAAGTGCCTTATACTGGAACTACAGTGGCTTTGATGCCGCTGGGGCGTATGCTGGAGAGATCCAGTCGCCCAAGACAACGTATCCGAAAGCTATGGTGCTTACAGTCGTGATGATCGCGATCACGTAAGTACATTTTTTTTTACTTCAGCTGGCAGATATAAGTGACTGACGTGTGGGAGATACCTATTACTAGGTATATCGTCCCATTCATTGCTATCGCCGGTGCTGACTTGCCTCACTACACGACGTGGGACGATGGATCGTACTCGGTTATCGCACAGAAGATCGGTGGAACGTGGCTCTGTATATGGGTATTGATCTCCTCAGTGTTCGGTAATCTCGGACTGTACGTCGCAGAGATGGCCAAGGACGGCTTTCAATTGGCTGGCATGGCTGACTCTGGACTTGCACCTCCGTATTTTGCTCAGTAAGTTCCAATCTTGTTTTTGTGCAGAATTTATGAGAAAAAACTCTGAATTCTTTATTTTTATGTGTTTTTAGACGTCATCCAGATACTGGAGTGCCTCGCCGCGCCATCTTATTGGCATTTTTCATCATCGTCTTCATGGGAATGTTCGACTTCGACACCATTTTAGGGATCGACAACTTCCTGTCTGCTCTCTCGTCTCTCGTGGAAATGAGTGCTGCTGTTCGAATGCGCTTCTCGCACCCTGAAATCGAACGACCATATCGTGTCAACTTATCGGACAATTCTCTCGTAGTGGCCATGATGCTCCCGTTCACGTTGGGAGTCTTCATCATGATGAACGAGTTGGCCAAGTCCTGGACCAGTCTGATACTCAATGCTGTCGCACTCCTTCTCGGGTATCTCATCCAGAAGTACATCGAACGTCACCCATACCATAAATACTCGAAGATTATTGGAGCACCACTGGATCTCGCGGATCTCTCGGAGGAATTGTGACGTGGGCGTATTTTTCACTTAGACAATAAACTTTTACAATAATTGTGTTCGTTTGCTTGTGAATTTTGAAAAAAAAATGAATTTTACTTAAGATTACTTTTTCTTAATTTTCCTTGTCTTCGGAGGCTGCGTTACTGTACTTACATACCCAGATTGTTTGACAATGCTCTCGGCTTCTTGTACGTGGCTAATAATCTCGTCTTCAAGGCCTGCAAACGGAAATTCCTTTATAGCCATGAGAGAATACGCTCGCAGATAATTTATGCGCTTTCCGTAACATTTTCTAATATTCGGGAACCATCGATGATCCACATCTCCCCGAACTTCGTAGTAGCGCAGATCTTGGTTCATATTGTACTGCTGCACGTATTGCCAGAGTTTCTGCGTATTGTTTCCCTCCGGTAAGAACTTGACAATGTTCCGATGAAGAAACGCTACCTCTCCGTCAGGATCATGCTGTACCATAGTGTTACCGCAGAAAATATTAAGATGCGGAGCCTTCAGTCCTGCGCTGCCTGCTGGGCGCTTGATCATGTGGAAACTCGAGTTCGTACGCATCCAGGCGAAGCGGAAGAGATCTTTGTCTCCCCAGAGCATATCGAATTTGGCAGGTAAGTGAGGTTCCGTGAGGCCATAGTGCAGTAAAGCATGCAACGCCTTTGTGTGCTTGACTCGGTTCACCAGCACTTGGCCGCTCTCTTGCTCAAACATATCGACAAACGGGACACCCAGGAGTTCCCACACGTCGCTGCCTTTCTTGGTCTTGAAAATTGTGCGGTTGGGCATCCAGAAATCCGGCCAGAAGACAGCACCCGTGTCGTTGTACACCTCGGTACTGAACAAGTGTGTGGGATCTCGCGCTGCGAAGTTGTCGGCGTCAAGTAGCAGAAGATTATCGAAAACACTGTAGAAAACCGCATAGAGTTTCGTATAGAACTTGACAGCTCGAGGGTCTTTTATGACGCGGAGATAAGCACCGTATTTACTACGGAGCTCTTGTAATAACGGGTGTGACGTGTTGGTCTCCTCTTCTCGATACCAGAGCTCGATGGGGAGTGTACAGCCGGCAGAACGTAGAGCTCGAATCGCAGCGTATACACTTAGGAACAATTGCTCGTATACGACGTATGCGATGCCTTTTGTAAAAGACGCAGGAGGCGCTACTTTCTGTCCACTCAACACCAACGGTTGGCTTGTGTTTTCTTTAATAAAACCATTCTCTAGGAGAAAGTCCCGTCGGTTGTTCTCGAACGAAAGTGGGTATTCTGGCTTATAATCGTCCGCCAAAAGGTTGTAGCGAACTAGCATAGTGGCATTCGCGCACGAGTAGCCCATTTGACTGGCCCGAGACTTGCACTTGGCTGCGATGAGTCGACGCACTTCTCCTGTTTTGCGGTGACGATACTCACAGAATCCGGAGTCGGCAGGTGAAATTTTACGGTCACACGTAGCATCTCGCTTTGGCTTGAAATCCCCTCGGGGGGAGCAGTTAGCTATTTGTCGCCATGCAACACACTCGAGCTGTTCCAGGTCGGCAAGGGTTTTGACGGGACTCCATAGTTTCTCTACGTTCGGATTAGGCAGAGGCTTGCGAGTTGGTTTCTTTGGGGGTGGAGATGTGCGCTTCGGGGTTGGCTTTGGTGTTGGTTTCGGCGTGTCGTCTGGGGTTTCTCGTGGAACACCTTCCATGGGGTCGATGATGATTTTAGCAACACTTGTATCTTTCGAAGATGACGCGTGACGCGAGACATGGACGGGATCAAGCATAATTTTTACTGGAGCGGATGAGCCAGAGCCATCGGCCGGAGCTGTGAGTTTCGTGAGAAGCTGCTGACGACGGACGATGACGTCGTGGGTCACGCTGTTGACTTCGCGTTCGCCTCGATACGAATACGTGACGACTTGTTGGCTGTACCAGCCGCACGATGCTGATAAAGCAACAAGCAGTAGAACTGTTACCCATCCAACTACTGGAGACTGTGGTCGCCGAAGGCGAATTTGTCCGAGCATCGAGCTGATTGATGATGCGTTGCGAATGCTGGACTGTGAGTCACCTAGCACGATCCTGCACTCGAAATAGTCGTTTCACTCGCCTCGGGGGATAGCTGTTGAAGGTGGAGGACCTTTCCGAAGCTGCAGCATCGTCCCATGCTGGAAGCGCACCTTCGCATTATTTCTGGAAACGAGCGCTTGATCAAGCGGTTTGGTATTAATACTAAAGTGCGACTTATGGTCGCCACGACTTGTCTTTCGCCCATCGATTACGAGTAAGGGGTGCAGAATCGTCCAGATACAAGTTTTGGGTTTTCTGTCCAAAGCCAATTACCTGCCGCGCTTTGCTTGCCCCCACGGCAATATAATGATTGAATTCTCTAGAGAGTGCAATGCGCAGCTCGCTGTTAAGCTCCGCCTCCGCAAATACTGTGCGGCCCTGCTTCGCTGGCTCCCCGCGCGGGTTTGCAGCGGATACGCAACTTCGCACCCGCTCGCCTTAGTTGGAAAAGCGCTAATGGTACGTGTACATGTATTACGCACCAAACAAGCAATGACACTTCAGCTCCTCTGCTTCGGTTATTTATTTTTAGAGAAAGAAATTAAATTTAGACACGATTTGGACATCCAATCCGTAGTGAGAATATAAAAAGAAAATCTGAGTAAATACAGTTCAATCTCGATTTCACCGACAGTTGCCGAAATTAGACTTTGCACTTTTTACCTCGTATAAATAATTTATAAGTTATAAATTATACAAGTTTGAATTTATAAAGGCTTCCTTTTTTAATAAATGTTGGTACTAAGGTCTCTATATTTTCAGAGTCGCACGTTTTCTTTTCCCAATTACATGGTTTTTACGCTGTTGCAGCGTCGCACTCAAGCCGTGATTTATGGTACATGTGCTCTCCGAGAAAATTTTAGTTTGATTACTGTCAGGTCGACCTTAAACACTAAATCAACGTTATCTGGCCAATCAAGTTGATATTACTGCTCCATGCAGCAGCCCAGAGTTCCTCGTTGCCTGGAATACGTGAGCACCGAGCTCATGGTTCCAGCAACATTTGGAAAGTACTGAGGCATGAAATATTTCAGGTGCTATGTCGCTGAAGGTTTCATTGGTAGGCTCCTAACACATACCTTGGGGAATTATCTTGATGGGATACTGGTAAACCCGTTTTTCTGCATCGCTGCCCACTGCGCCTGCCACTTCACGAAAGTCTTGTAAGCCTTTGGCTTATCAGGTCTATCTTTGTCTTGACGTTTGTCAGTCCAAGTGTCTTGCGAACGTCTTTTCGTGAGGTCCCTGCCATGATCCACTTCATTAGTTCTTCTTTCGTCTTCTCTTCCGTTTGGTAGCCTGTACCGAACTTCGCATAAGGCAACTTTTTCCCGTATGTGTGCTCAAACTTCATCCTCTGGAACTTGACGAGGGCTTTCCAGTTTGGGTGAAGCATCAGCTTTTCGGTCGGCATGTTGGCCAGACCCAGTTTCGCGCCAACGGTCAGCAAGCTTTCTCCACTCTCGAGCAAACTTGTTAGCCACGCTTTCGTCTCCGCCTTATCTCGAACTAAGCCAGCAAAATTCATGGTCGCTCTCTTCGGCACCTGTGGGTGTTTCGACAGCCGCCGCCTTGACGATGCTTAGGAATCTACCCTCGTCATCACTGCCCCGGGTGGCATCATCCGTGGCGAGATCTTCCTTCAGTGAGACCACTGCTAGAGGACTAGCTTTGCTACATGCGACTCGAATTGCGAGTAGGTTTGCAGCCACGAGAAGTAGGTAGTATAGACGCATGATTTTTCCAATTAGTGAGACTGAGTTAGTTGCGAACTGATCGATTCTCTCTGTCAGACTTAAAAAGACCGTCCCTGCCGAACAACGCTACACTGTGTCGCAGCTGGTGTTGATACCATCCCAACGATGTTCGCACCGGACGTGCGGACCGCACGTTTGGCGCACTGCGGACCACGGTGTGATGCGGACAACAAGACGTTGGCCATACCTCCGAAATCTGAATGCTCAAAGAGAATTGCCACTTGATTTGTTGTGGGTGAACTCGTCCGATTTAGCTCAGTATGACGTTATTTCTAGTCGAAGGCGAGTTTGGTATAGGAGTCACACGTATTGAAGAGGAAATACACATTATTCACAACGTATGCTTAGTGAAGCGCGATTGCAAAGGAATGCGGCGAAATGATTGCTTTTGGCAGTATTAATATACGGTATACTAATTCCTACCATCGAATAATTTATAGGCAGAAGGCACATCCTTTACAGTTTTAAGTGTCAAACGTCATTTGCCAACGTATAATAGAGTGAATTTTAATAAGCCTGTAATAAGACTGCCCTCAAAAAGTGATATCATATGGTACGCTGCATTTGCTTTGAAGTACAGTATTTTTCCTCAATAAAGAACACCTAATATATATGCAATTTAAGAATTAGAATACGAGATTACAGGGAGCCAAAGGACTTGACGCAAGATCAGCCGCATAAAAAAATGAATGCTATAATCTTCTGGTTATTAATAGTGATTTGACGCAAGATCAGAATGAATGCTATAATTTTCTAGTTTGATTACTGTAGTCGGCTGTGCTGTAGTTTCGTCTTCGATTCAGCCAATCCACTGCACTGTGTATAGTACTGTACAGGTTGAATCTATTGTTCCTACAGCATAGTGAAACACTGAAGAGGGTATATTTGAGCCTCCTGGGCCACGAATGAACGTTGGAGCTTCAAGGCTGTGTGCGGAGCTCGCCGATTTTTGCTCCTGAGACAGCATGACCAAATCCCGCTCAATCTTGTACAGTACTGCACCCCGTTTTAGCGCCCCTGGACCTTTGATAAACTTCTGGATGTGATGATCCTGAATCCAAAAGATATAATGTCTGCTTGCGAAGATTTGATTTATTTGCAAATCCTATATAGTCCACCCCCGCGAAAACGGGGTGCAGTACTGTACGAATACGGCTCAGTGAAGAGGCTGATAAAGGACCCGTGGACTCACTTTGACTATGGATTGGATTTACACGTCATCAAACAAAAAAAAACATTAAAAAAGTTATTTTGGACGGAAACCCGGTCATTTTGAGATCATGTACTGGAAGGTTTCCACGCTCGTAAAGCTCCTCGGGAAGTGCGTCGTGCTCTTTCTCTTTAACTTCAATGGACACTGCTGCCGAGTTCTCCATTTTGCTGTCAGGAGTAAAGAGCATTGAGAGAAGGCATCGAATCCTCTTGAGATAAGGATCTTGTCAACGACGAAAGAGATGGGATTCAGCAGCTCAATCGGCGCAATACCGACATCCCAATAAGTTTTTACAGCTCGTTTTTTCTCGTTTCGTTTGGAAACGTTCCAGGAGAATATCCCAAACAACAACGTTTTTTTCAGTTAGTTTGTTATGCTATATGAAACGTACCAATCTGAGACTTTGACAAAGCTGTGTTTCATTGGAAAGCTGTGGATTACACTACTGTGTGTAGGGCAGTTGCTCATCATTGCTTTTACATGTACACGGTCAGTAAGGAGCTTAATAACATACTAAAAGCGCCAGAAAACGGTACTTTTCAATTTGATCTGTACAAACTTTACAAGAATAATATTAATAGCTCCCACGCGTTCCTCATTGCCGCATCTTTTTCAGTATACTCAGAGTGCCTGTACTTGTCAATTTGTTCTTTATATTTTTTTAATTAGTTCTTATGTGCTCCTTATGACGCATTACTGTATACTACTACTGCAGTCCCGTATACACGCGATCACAAGAGAAATATTGGCCGTATGGTATGTCCGACATGTTCCGTACGACTCGTACGCATCTGCTGCACCAGCTCCGCAGCTGCATCATCCAGCATTCACGCGGATTAAATTACTTCGGTTAGTCGTAATTTACAGTGTGATACCCTTGGCGGCCACAAGCAACCTTCACCTGGGTGACATCACTGGTACAGAGATAATCAGATATACTTAACCATTCTACTTGTTTAAAGTGAAGTTGCGGTGTCAGATACAAGCTGAAATGACAGGTGATGCACGTTTTGAGAAGAAAACCCGCCATATGGGGTACGACAATCCAATGTAGATCTAATATAACAGGCGTATCATGTGCTAAAATATTTTTTAAGTTTGAGTTGAAAACGTTAGTTTGGGATCTGAATATAAGAAGCTAGAGTCGTTTTGAGTCAAAATGACTGGCCTCTTAACCGTCGTTGATAAATACCTTTCATTAAGAATATTAGATTAGGAGGAAAACCCAAACAAAACAAATAAACAGCTTTCATTTTCAAGAAATCGGCTTTTCTTTCCTATTTAAGTAAATATATACTTTCGGACGGAAAGTATAGCTCATTTAAGTGAGACGCAACTTATACATGTGTGCGAACGTGTAAGCCGAAGTAGTGGGCTTTAAGTAGGTCCATTACACCTGGTATGTGACGGGGTCACACAGCACCTTGCGCTAGAGGAAGTTATCTTCCAAGAGTATACAAACTCTCAGTGAACGGCAGTTCACAGGTCCCCTCTTTTATTAAAGAGAGCGAAGTGACCTAAATAAGGTAGATTGTAAACTGAGTATATTTATAGGTAGGTTAAGGTTGGGTTTAATACAAACTGCTAGTTACCTATAGAAATGCAATGTCATTTAACCAATGGTTGGCTTTGAACGACCTTGGTACCTTGTACCAAATATCTCGGAGTATGACGTGTCATACTCCTGAAGTGTGGAGTGTCACACTTCATGTAGCCAGGGTACACTTAGGGCTACGTACCCCGTTACATCCTCCCCCACTTAGGTTCGGTTTACCGACCAATCAGAATGAAGAGGTGTTCGTCACAAACTCTCATTCTCAAAGTCGAAAACCATCGACTTGGCCGCGCGAGCGCGGCGGAGGCTCACTTCACAGTTAGAGCCTCGAGCAGCAACCTGTGCGCTCTTCGTCTAGGTCTCCACTTCGACCGTTAACATGCCTCGTGGCACTACTAAGAGCGGTGCTAAGACACGCTCCAAGGCTGCAGCCGGTAAGGCGCAGGCCAAGAGCACTAAGCCTCACGGCAAAGGCTCTGCACTCAAGGAGGCTACTCAGGTGGCCTCCGAGGCGATCGGATCCTCGGGTGACGCGGCTGTGGACAAGCGCGCAAGCAGGCACCGCAGCCCGTCGCCCTGGTCTTCAGACAATCGTCCGAGCCCTCGGTTCGTAGAACGTGAGTTCAACTCGGGCAGTGAAGACGATGCCGAGTCCGAGAGCACTCATGATGCTCCTGCGGGCTCTGTGGGAGGGCACAGCCCAGTGCCCAGTGAGCACAAAGAAGACAGCGTGCAGTCGCCCGCTAGTGATCACGGTGATCACAGCCCCAGGACCTCTGTGCGCTCTGAGAGTCCGGCCGTTAAGGCTAAGGGCGCTCCCAAAGCCGGTGGCGATGAGGAAGAGAATCCTCGCAAGCGTCTCTCGCTTGCCGAGGGTCTTGCGCGCGCTAAGGCGTCTAAAGCCGAAGGCGCCAAGCCCTCAAAGAAGCGTGCCGCCTCTAAGTCTCCACTCCGCGAGGAGAAGGAGACTCGACGCTTTTATCAGAGTCTCTTCGGCTCCTCGGATGAAGAGGAGGAGAAGGAGGAAGAAGAGGAAGAGGAGGGTGCCATTGTTGAGCCCCGGGGGGTCTCGAATGACCTCGACCAGCAGCAGGAGGATTTCCAAGCTGCCCAGCGTGTGCGTGGGGGTTCGGTGGTGGCACCCGTCAGCCAGGGAGCTGCCATCAACTCAAGAGGGTATTGGCCTCCCGAGGAGAGCTCTGGGGCTGACCTCTTCTTAGAGCTTCTCGTCGCTCCTCGTGGCCTTGTGGGCGGCCACACTTCTAGGGGCATCTATGAACGAGCCCTTGTTCAGAAAGAACTGTTGTTCGTCGACAACTTGGAGGCTGCTCGGTGTGTGCTTCTCGCGCCACACCGCATTCCCCTTAAGGACTTCACGACTTGTCGTAAGAAGCCCGAGACCCGGGGTGGTCTCTATCCTGTTTGGGGATACCCCTGGGTTATGCCCGAGAACTGTCCCACGTGAAGTTCTTGTGAGGACATGTTCTGGGCGTGGGTGGAGACTCTCAAGTACTCGCCCACGGAGTTATGGGAACTCCATGAAGATCAGCAGCTGTCCCACATCCTGGACCAGCGTGATCTTCGTGTGAGGTTTGCCCACTTGATCAGCAAGCGTATGCTGCTAAGGGACATCCTGAAGCGCGCGGCTTCTAGCGCTCACGATGAGCGCGGGTACGGTATGTATTCATCGACCGTACCCCGTTCGGGCAAGAAGCCCCGGACTACTTATGAAGCTGCCGCCGCTTCTGTTCCCAATTGCGACAGCCTTCGGGCAGTCAATCAGGAGCCGTTCAATCGGCTCCCACGAGTTCTCGAAGTGGGCATAACCCCTCCACTTCACGAGGAGCTGTCGCTTGCCGCGACACCGTTGCTCCTGGAGGATCCGCTCCACGTGGAAGTGGACTTCTCCATTCCGGTCAAGCATGCCCTCGTACGAGTACGAGTACTCGGCGCCTCCCGAGAGCCACTCTCGTCCGAGAGCTCCAACTGCGGGTCCGACACAGGACCCTGAGGCTGACCGCCTCCGTCAACGTGTCCTCGTGCTTGAGATTGCACTTGGCCTTGGGACTGGCGGTAATGCTGCCGCCCAGGCCGGGAATCAGGGCGAGCTCGCTCGTCTTGCGGGCCGCCTGGACCTGGTGGAGCGAGAGGTCGCGAGCCTGCACCTGCGGATGGATCGCCGGGCCTCTTCGTCCGATCTGGACGAGGCCTTTCGCATGATCCGACGGATCGAGGCTTTATTGCCACGTCCGGAGCCGCCTGCGGCACACTCCCAGACGTACGCATACGGTGCGTACCCGGCGTATTCAGCGTACTCGGCGTATAGCGCCGGGGTCCGTTCGTATGGAGCCCCTCCGGCGTACGGTCTTGACCGCAGCTTGCCGTCCCGACCGAGGCTTGGGTGCGTCGTCATTGACTTTGGAAGGTCGATGGTGTACGACGCACCATGTCTGACCAGGACTGCAAAAGGTCCGATGAAGCGGTGCTTCAGTTTGTTGCTGCCGACAGAGTTAACAGTGTCTAGAGGTAGGTTCCTCGTGTCTAGCAACACTAAGTCACCAACCTCAAATATACTTAAGTTTCCTCTTCCTTGTTTGTCTGAGTACTCCTTTTGTTTATCTTGGGCCGCTGCCATGGCATCGCGGACCCTGCTGACAATGTTCAGCTTGGTATCCATAAAGGATTCAACCTGTTTCCGCAGCGAAACTGGCCTCACATCCGAGACCTGGGAGGAAAGGGCTTTCCGAGCCTCTCCCCCACTTAGAATAGAGGAGTCAGTGTCTCCTCGAAGAGTGAGAGGCACTATGGGGTGGCGGAAGCCGTTCAAGTAGAACGGCGTGAACCCCGTGGACGCGTGCACCGCGTTGTTGAGCGCAAACTCAACAACTGGAAGCTGCGTCGACCACGTACGTGGCGCTGCCGCGCACACACTGCGCAGAGTGTCCTCGAGCACTCGATTGACGTGCTCTGTTTGGCCGTCTGTCTGCGGATAATCCGCAGTGGACATCTGCAGACGAGTTCCCAGTGGCCCCTTTCAGCAAAACGTTGGAACCTCTAACCTGGAAGTTTTTTTCTAGGTTCGAGGGAAAACACTTTCAGCATACCACTTTTTTCTCCTCCAACCGCAAAAAAAGTCACTAAAAGTTCCAAGTAAACCTCGGTTCAGTGCCAAAGTTTTAGGGAGCGGAAGAGGTCCCTGAAACGTGGAGCTTGTGAGACTGGATAGATTCTCCGTGGCACTCATTTTCACCCCCCCCCTTCAGCTTGCGCATGGATAGCGGAGAGCCCGAGGCAGAGCCCCTGGGCTCTGCGGAACCTGCGTCTGTGCGAGCTCTAGAGCCTGCGATCTCTGACTTCAAGCGCAACTGGACCGACATCACGATCCTTGCTCTGGTGCGCGCGTGGCGCGCTGTGTACAGAAGTGGTCGAGCCAAGGATGAGAAGACGACGATGTTTAACGAGCGCATTTTCGTTGCTTACCAAGCTGCCGTCCCGTCGACTCAGCGTTCAAAGAAGGCAATAGAAGATAAACTCCAAGGACTGCGTGAGATGTATCGTTTCATCAGTGATGTAAACGCAAACAGAGTGCAAGGCAGCACTGGGAAGGCTGAGTGGTTCGATCTCTCCAAGCAAGATAAGAAAGAGCTAAGGTATGGTGGTTCTATGGAATGCAGACCGTGCTTGAGCTTACAGAATACTATTCTTCACAAACAGGGAATTTCATCGCATTAAAAGTCCCAATATCTCACAGCATAGATGGCTCGAGCTCCGTTTGAGGCTGTGGGAATTTTCTTTCGTACTCCTGCAATACACTCTTTACTTCTTCTTCATCGATAGCGACAGTATCACTGTAGTCCATTAGGAAGTTTTGAATGATGCACAAAGCGTACACAATGTCTGGAGCAATCTCCGTGTCCAAATCGACCCCCCGGAGCAAAATGTGCCACCTACATTTGAGCTGTCCAAACGCACATTCTACACGGTAACGTGCGCGAGTAAGATGCTCGTTGAGGTCTTTGCAAAGTTCATCTTCTGTCTCCGCCAGCTCAAATGTTGTCACTAAGAAATTGGTATTTTGATAGCCAGAATCTCCTAGCAAAAACGGTGGCAGATTTACATGGGTGTCATCTCCAGTCGGTATCGCCACACTTGCCGCAGCCGCAGACACACTGGGAAACACCCGACCCAATGTGCTGTTGCGAAACACACGACTGTCACCTACGCGTCCTGGCCACTTGCAATCCAGGTCGCAAAACCTCCCCCTCCAATCGACAACGGCTTGCAATACTACACTATACCAGCATTTTCGATTGTAATACATGTCTCCATCATCGCTAGGTCGAGCAATAGGTATATGTGATCCATCAATACAGCCCACAATCTGTGGCACACCACACAACTCAGTAAAATGGGAAGCACATTGTACCAAAGGGGGGAAAGCTACTAAATCCGTGAGCTCTTGGCATACAATAGACGACACCTCGCGCACGATACCGGAGACTGTAGATGGCCCAATGGCAAAACGATCTGCTGTGGCTTCCAGCGATGTGCCCTGAGCACATAGATACAAGAAGACAGCTACTCTCACTGGAGGCAACACAGCATCTGGTGCCATTCTTTCTGTTGTGAGATGGGGGGTCACAGTCCGTATCAAAGCGCCAATTGTAGAGCTATCCATGCGAAATAGGTTACTCATCGATCCATCGAAGTAGATGCGCGAAGAGAACAACATCTTAGCCCAGTGTGAGCTGCGCTGCTTCGCGAGAATCTCCCGATCCTTTGGAGCTGCTACTTCGGCTATCACATCGAGTTCTGCTTGGTACGCTTGCTGGATGAGGTGTCTTGCTTGTCCGCCCATGCCAGCTGGAGGAGGAATCCCCTCCAAGAGAAGCATTAGCAGCAGTCCGACGTTCATGGGCCGCGACCTCTTAGAATATATAGCCAGAATGATTGTGGAGAGCACGCAGCACCTCCAGGGGAAGATTTGCTGAACGCATGGGAAAAACAAAGCTTGGAACTTTTTTTTCAGGTTCCAGGTTATATTTTTGCTGAAAGGGGCCAGTAAAGGGAACAGCGTTTTCCAAAACGCAGCAGTGAACCGCGGGTCTCGGTCCGAGACAATCGTCTCCGGGAGACCGTGATAGCGGAACACGCCATCGACGAACAACCTTGCGGTTTGTTCGCCCGTTACAGTGACGGGAGCTGGAGCAAGATGTACCATCTTGCTCAGCCGACACACGAACACCAAAATTCCGGTGTTGCCGTGTCCGTCGGCGGGAAGCCCAAAGATGAAGTCAAGACTCATCGACTTCCAACGATCAGCCGGTACGGGCAGGCTCTGTAGTGGAGCCGAAGAGTGCCCTGCGGGTTTGACCCGCTGACATGTTTCACATGTCTTGACGTATCGGGCGACCCACTTGTACATGTGGGTCCACCAGAAGGACTGAGAGACCGACAGAAAGGTCTTCTCGCGGCCCAAGTGGCCGCTTGAGGGCGCGTCATGCGCCTCCGCGAGGATGTCGAACTTCAGATCCTCGTCGTTGGGTACAACCACCGGTGGAGGATCAGTGGGCTCCAACCGATAATAGAGGAGGCCCTCCTTCAACTCATATCGGTGGAGCCGTGAGCGCTGTCGCGACGAGAGCCAGTCGGACTTCGCGCTCGTTCCGGCCTTAAGGAACTTGACGATAGGCGCGACAGCCTCATCGTCCCGATACGCCATGCGTATCCGATCATATAGATCCGTTGTCACCCACGTGATGTGTGCCAACTCATAGTCGGGACGCCGAGAGACGGCGTCCGCAAGTACGTTGAGCTTGCCCGGCTTGTATTCGACGCGGAAGTTGTATTCCGCGAAGAAGGACAGCCACCTCGCCATCCTTTGGGAGAGGTGAGGCGAGTTAGTCGCCGTCCTCAAGGACGCGTGGTCTGTGTAGATCACAAAGGGCCTAGAGCCCAGAAGGTGAACACGGAAATTCACAAGGGCATATTTCATTGCCAGGAGCTCCTTGTCATGGACAGGGTAGTTCCGCTCGGCGGCTTTGAGCTGCCAGGACTGGAACGAGATGACTCGTTCCTGTCCAGCCGTGTCGTCCTGCAGCAATGCACACCCGATGGCGTAATCGGAGGCATCGCAGACGACGCTAAACGGCTTCGTCTCGTCCGGCAGAGCCAGGACAGGGGCCTCTTGGAGACTGGCCTTGATGCTGTCAAAAGCATCCTGGTGCTCTTGTTCCCAGCGCCAGTCGACGTCCTTCTGAAGGAGGCTCGACAAGGGCTTAGCGAAGCCCGCGTACCTAGCGCTGTACTTGTGAAGGTAGCTGGCCAAGCCCAACCACTTTCGAAGATCCTTCTGGGATCGGGGCGTCGGCCATGCTGCTATGGCCTTGACCTTGTCTGGGTCAGCCCGAACGCCCACGTTGCTGACGAAGCAACCGAGAACTTTAATCTCTGGTGACGCGAAAACGCACTTGTCGATGTTGGCGTAGAGCTTGTTCGCTCGCATCACGTCCAACACTCGACGGAGGTGTCCTAGATGCACCTCCATGGCCGTCTTGCCTCCCTCGGCACGGCTATGGACGAATATGTCGTCGAAGTACGTCTGTACGAAGGTACGCATAGGGCGGAACAATTGCGTCACCAGGCGATGGAACGTCGCCGGGGCGTTAGACAAGCCCTGCGGCATGACGAGCCACTCCCAAAGCATGCCGCTTGGAGTGCTTACCGCGGTGAGCGGAATGTCGCCCTCTCGCATCAGGATTTGGTAGTATCCGTCTACCAAATCCAGCGCACTGTACAGTACGCTCCCGGTCATGTTGTTCAACAACACATCCTTTCGTGGGATCGGTGTTTGGGCCGGCACCGTTGCGTTGTTCAGCTTGTTATAAGCGTGAACGGGACGCCACTTTCCGTTCGGCTTCCGAACGCAGAAAGTCGGCGTCGAGTGCGGGGATTTCAATTCCCGCACCATGCCTGCCTTCGCTTTCGCGGCGAAGAAGGCATCAATGACCTCGCACTGTTCGCGCGGGAGAGGCCATTGCCTCGTGACACAATACTTTGTGCCGGGCACGAGATCAATCTCGTGCCGTACGCCTCGATCCGGTGGGAGTTGGGTCGGTGGGTGTTTGTTCACCACGTCCGCATACTCCGTCACCAAAGGATACACCGGATCCTTGGGGTTCTTGAGAATCTCAGAACCCAAGCGCGCCTGACGCTGCTTGTTCATGTCGTCCAGGACGTTCTCGTCCAAGACAGAGGAGGAGTTCAGCTCCTCCTGAGTGGTCTCAGGTATCATGAGTACCATCTCAGCAATCTCTCCAGCCTTGAGGTTGGCCAGGAAAGACTCAGCCGCCATTTCCTCGAGGTTTAGTATCTCCGCAACCTCTGGCAACGGTTCCAAGTGGACACCAGATACCTTGATGGGTAAACCTGTCTCGCCATCGAAGATGTGATAACACTCTTCCACCGGCCTTGTCGGAGGAGCCCGGGCCCTGGACTCCGAGTCGCTTGAAGCGACGTCGATCGGAACGAAGTTCGGATCCGACTTGAGGCGGCGGCGGCGTCTTTGCCGACGGCGTCTGTGACGGGGAGCTTTGCTGCCCACGTCTAGGGGTGTCGTCGCTACGACATCCGAGGCACTCGTGGCCTCGTGTGGTACTGTTGTACCCACACAGGAAGCGTGTTCAACGCCTTCCTCTTCAGTTAAGGTCTGGGCGACCGCGTGTGGCACTGTGTTACCCACACAGGAAGCGTATCCGACGTCTTCCTCTTCAGTTAAGGTCTGGGCGACCGTGAGTGGAACTCTGTTACCCACTCTGAACACGCTGTTCTCAGTGTTCATGACAGGTGCAGCTGTCTGCGGAACTAAGTTACCCGCCTGTGGACCTAAGTTACCCACTTGGCCAGCGCCTCTTCTGGGCGCGGCCACCATCAAAACATCCTCGGAGTCGTCATATACGTCGACGACTCCCAAGCATCTGCCGGATGCTTTGGTACCCTGGCAGCCCTCTCGGGCGCCCCGGGTCCTGACAGAAGTGGGAATATGACTCACCAATGCTCTGTCGGACTGCGCAGGGCGGCTGGCACCGATTGCCTTGCCTCGCCAGTCGATCCAGGGCTCGTGCTTCTCAAGCCAGGGCATGCCCAGGATCATATCATATTGGTCCATATCGAGAACAGTGAACTGTTCGAGGCTGTCAAAGTCTTCAAACTTGACGGCCAGATCCACTTGGACGTTGGGGACAGTGACGACCTTCCCGTCGGCCAGTCGCACTGACACCGTCCCGTTGCCCTTGCTTTCTCTTAAAGCTTCGGACAACTTGTTGCTGTTACGAGCAACCGTCTGGCGGCGTGCGAAATTCTTCGACGCCCCAGAGTCAATCAAGATTCTAAAGGGATGATCGTATCCCCCTACACATCCGTGTACTACGAGCAACCCGCCGCTGCTCTTCGCCGATTCGAGAGTGCGAAGACTCTCAGGGGCTAAGTCCCCGTGGTACGCGCCACCCGCGCACCCATCACGAAGACTTAGTTCTTCCCCAGTTGGGAGCCCCGCCCCTACTGGTTCCCTGCGTTCCCCTGTCCCCGGGATCCTGGCTTCTGCCAGCGACCCTTGAGGACGAGCTTGGGGAAGGACCGTCTGCGGAGTCTTTCCGCGGGACAGTCGCGCTTGAAGTGGCCCATCTTCCCACAGCCGAAGCAGCGGATGTCACGCTGTTCGGCGGACCCGAGTTCCATGGGAACTGGTCCGTTGGGGCTTGTTCGACCGGGAGCCGACAAGGAGCTCCCAGGCCACGCTGAGGCCGGCGTACGCGCCTGGCGATGGCTGTACTCTTCTTGAAGAGCCACTTGAATCGCCTCTTCAAGGGTGCCTGCCTGCACCCGGAACAGCTGAGTGCGTGCGGGGCCCACTTGAAGGCCGTCCATGAACACAGTCATCTTGATGTGTTCATTGAGTGGGTTTCCCACTAGGGACGCCGTGAGCTCCCGTATCTCTTGCACATACTCGTGCAGTTCGCGCCTTCCTTGTTTACACGCGAGGAAGCGCGAACGCTGGCGGTACTC